TTTAAAATTTGTCCATCAATAATCATTTGCTATTTATATTTTGTATTAGTTATATGTGTGCGACCTCTAAGGATTTGGATGAAAGTTGAAGAGGTTGAAGGTCTAGGTGACTTGAATATACATACGTGCAGCTATGATGAATTTTACATTAATGTGCAACGAATCAAAAAAAAATTAAGTACCTAAATGGGGTCTGAAGGCGTATGGACTATAGATCGTCTAACGATCGAGCAATATGATAAATAGACATTGAAATTTTATGAAATTGCATATTTTTGAAAAGGTAAAAGTTTTCAGTCAAATTTAAGCGTAAGTTTAAACGCCCAATCTGGATGGGTTAAACCGAGTTTAAACTATCAGCTGTTGAGTTGTATATTTGTAGTCAGCTGCCAAGATTTAGATGAAATATTAGGAAAAAATTAAAATTGTTTGCGAAATACACGAAAAAAGACTCATTTGTATGTAATCCAGGATGACTCCGTGAGCAATCGCGGAGGAGCATGCGACTAATACCACTTTTGATCTCTTTATATGGAATGAACTGATCGCGCTTTTGTTCGAGCAAGTCCTATGAAGAGACTAATTGTTCACCTTTATACGCGAACGGGTATAAAAAGCGAGTAGTCACTTTAAAAAAAAAAATAACTTTGCTCCAGCTGAGATTCGAATCGGGGTGCTCAGTTTTGTTAGGCGAATACTCTCTCTGTGTGCCAACGCCGCACATGAAATTTCATTGACTAAGAGCGTACATATCATTAAATCAAGAATGATAGAATACAAGATTGCGCCGATCAGAGAGGATTTTGGAGAATAACTTTTGAGTGACGTCACACTGGTGCAATTGCGAGAGAGAAATGCCAAAACGTGAGCAAGAATGGAAGAAGAAGAAAAAATGTTGCAAGGGAAACGTAAACAAGTTGCACAAGTGTGGCGTCATGCAAACAACGATTCTGTCAAATTCATTAAGAGAGGAATAGCGGTCCGAGATCGGCGCAACCTTTGTATTCTCTCAATCGTGTCATTAAATAATAGTACCCGTTAGAGATGTGTTGGGGACTAATTGATCTCCAATTATACCCATAAGGGATGAGTCGAGACTAATTGACCTCCATTAGTCCCCGTATGAAACTAGTTGGGACTAATTAATGACCAATTGTACCCGATTGAGAGTAATCTCGGAATACTCTCTTTAGAGATTAGTCGCACAATTTTTTGCAGGGAAGTTAACAAACGCAACTTGAGTTGGAGTTTACTTTAAATTTCCGTCTATAATCTTCCAGAACTTAAACGCAATCATATCAAAAGTGAAAATAAATAGCTGAGGTTTTGTATCTGCATAAAGAAAAAACAGTGTTGCCCAACAAAACATTTAAACTATGTAGAGGCATTAAACCAGCACTGAAAAACTGGCCCTTAGTGTTTGGCCGAGCTTCTTCTCCGATTTGTAGCGTGCGCCTTTATATTGTCACACAAAGAGGAGGGATCTTCATTTTTTTTTTTTACTTTTTCTTATTCTTTGATGTTGAGTTAAACCGCGCTTCAACCCAGGTCCTGCGGAATGCTAACTGCGCACTGCTAACCACTACACCACAGTGCCCGCTAAAAAAAAAAAAGCTTTTTTGGGGCACTACATATTTCGGTTTATTGTGACTACTCCGGAATTTTTCGACTTGTTTAGGGACTCTCGGGACTAATTTTGATTTTCGGGACTGTTTCCGAATTTTTGGGATTGTTTCGAGATTACTTATTGAGTTTTGAGACTATTCCGGGAGTTTCAAGATATTCGGGATTTTTGCGACTTTATCGGTGTTTTCGGTAATAAAATCCACTAAGTGACGCTCTTCGGTATTTTTTTCCAAACAAAAAAACTATCACATCATATGGAGAAAATGAACGTCATCAGCAAAAAAATTCTCAAAAATCAACGGTATTTTCTAGCGACTTAAAACTTGTACTTTATTATACTGAAATTGAGTGAACCACAAAACTGCATAATCATAAAAATTCGAAAAATTTGGTTTAAAAGTTGCAAATTTTGGTGCAAATTTGCCGAATTTTCCTAAATTTTGTAATAAAAATTAACGAAAAAAATTTATTACGAAAAACGTTGCAAATATAAAAAAAACACACTGTACGAAGACATATTCTGGCTAGTGTATATTTCAAGGATTGAAAATTACAGTGCACTAGTCGTTTTATTATTTTTTTTTTTAATTTCCCTATTATCCGTTTGAGTCGATTATTTTTAGTCTTTTCAATAACACCAATTCCTTCCCTTAGAGACAAACCATTGGTTTTAAATTTTTGTATTCAAATAGAAATGTAACTGAAGCTACCGATTAATGAAAGACAAATCTGTTTTTATATTATTGTTTGTAAACATTTCTTTACAAATCTCGACAAATAAAAATAAAACACGGCCAAGAAATGGTCAAGAAAAATGTATTGAGCCAAACTTTCTTAAGCAGTACGAAGTTTTTAAGAAATATGCTACGCTTTCTGCTATGGTTGGCTAAAGTTTGTTTGTGAAGAGTACAAGGCACCATTGTTTTCAACAGTCTGTAAGATATCAGATATCAAAACTTCTTGGACACTGCTATTAACACACACGAACTAATAGCAATTTATTTCTTGACCGTTTTCTTAGAAGGCCCGTACTTAGCTTTATACATTGAAATAAGCAAAATAAGCATGATCGTTAAAATTAAGCTTGGAAACCCTGAATAAACAAAATTAGCAATTCCTAGCAAAAGCTTAAACTTTTCGGTCGTGGTTATCAAATATTTACAACTGAATCATTTTAATACTAGGCTGTTAAAGAACTAATTTCTCTTAGTATCTGCAGTCAATAGCAAAAGAATTTTCTTGAAAATTTATTTCAAACGGTTTTATATTGTCTTTACGTTTATGTCCAGTTTGAATTTCCTTAAAAAAAAAAATACTATGTTTTGGTAATTTTAACTTTACCCGAAGCATTGAGTAAATTTGAAAAAGAGCTGAACCATAAATCGAATTACATAGGAAAATAAAATTTTCATAGAACGTACATAAGTAAATATGGGCAAATACTCTATATTGACTGCATAGCTTGCATACCGAAAATCCAAAGGATGAGTAAGGAAAATAAAATCCAGTACGTACAAGAAAAATTGATATCTTCGCCAACAAATCTTTGATTGCGAAGGTAAAAAAATTGCAAAAATCAGAAGCAAAAATTCAGAACATAAAACCCCAAAAAAAAACACACACATGCTTGCAAAGCAAGAACAGTAGTTGTAGTTATTTAGAGAGAATGTAAAATAAAAGAAAGGCATCGATTTCTTACAGCCGAACAGTGAGTGCGATAGAGAATGCACCAAGCAGTGTAATTTGAGTGGCCAAGATTTGCAACCGCAGCATTTGCAGCCACTTGTGCTTGTGGCTTTGTGGCAAACGGAAGTCAAGTTGCAAAGGCAAAGAAATGTGCGGCAACATGCCGAACGAATGCTAAAAGCCAAGCACTGCAGGGACTAAGTACCAGAAGAGACAGCAGGTGGCCAATAAAGCAGAGTGCAAGGAAGAGTGAGAAGATGGATAGGGAAGGTTGGTTGACTGGCTGGCTGGCTGGCAGGAAGGAAAGCTTTCAATTTAAGAATAGCAAGTATTTCCTAAATGTATGCAAATGGCAGACAAGCATTGCGGATATGCATACATACATACATATATGTAAATAAGTAAGGCTAATGTAAATAAGCGTTTTACTGGCAATTGTATGAATGCATAAAAGTATGTGGGAATATAGAAATTGGCAAAAAAATGTACCACCGCCAATTTATTTGTATGCGCATTGCACACTTTTTTGTTCACATTCGCCCGCAAACGTACATACATTTGATATAAAGAAGCATACAATTGCCTGCACGCAGCACGCAAGCCGCCTTAACACCTTTATTTATGGCACTCATACGCCATGGCGCACAAAACGAAGTAGATATGTACATATGTAGGTAGCACCACGTTGCTTGTAGTAGAAGGTGCAATCACTTAAATACAAATAACGATAAACTTAAAATACAATTACAAATGCGTATGTGCATAACAGTAAATTCAAAATAAATATACTCAATGCGCAAAGACCTAAGAATGGCTGCAACAGAAGCAACTTGAGATTTAAGAAACGTAGAATATGGCGAAGTTACATATACACACGTTTACATACATGTAATCGAGTATGGAGTATGGGTATGAATGCAGATACACATATATATATATATATATATATGGGGTGTTCCATACCAAAACGGACGGGGTTCACTATTCGTGTGTTGATGCATAAACATAAAAAATAAATAAATATGAAATTTGAAAACAAAATTCATAACTCCAATTATTGTAGAGTGCACCCCATAATACTATACTTAAATTTGCGCAATACTCAGAGCTACCATTGTAATTTATTTTATGGCATATTTTCAAAAACCAATTTTTTTATCAAACAAATTGTATGTGAGAAGTTTTCAAAGAAAACAATTTTTTCAAATATTTCTTTTCATAGAGAATTTTGATGTGTGTATGTGTGATTTTTTTCAAATTTTTTCTTTTCCCCGTTCTCGAGATATTTGGAAAAGTACTAAATCGATTTGTTTTTGTTGTTCTACTGTAAAGTTTTTAATTATGTACTAATCAAGCTAAAATTTCATATTTATTTATTATTTATGTTTATGCATCAACATCTACAAAATCAACGGTAATTTTTAGCGACTTAAAAGTTGCACTTTATTTACTAAAATTGCTACAAAACTGCATACTCGGAAATTTTCTAGAAATTCTAAATAATAATTTTGATGAAAATTCTTTGAATTTTTGTGAACTTTATATAGTGTTAAACTTTATGAAAATAATTGTGAATTTTATATTACAACAGGGCGTACACTTACATTTGACACCGACTGTATGCATTCCTTTATTTAGTAACTTTATATAATATTAAATGCTAATTATAACAGTCGTTTTTCTATTTCTTGCAGATCATCTACTTCAAACTTTTTACGCCCCAATCTAGACAACTAGTGGTAAGTTTTGCTTTGATGAATCAACAACCCGCTTTGTTATCTCTCCATACTTAAAAAAAAAATTTTAAATTTAAAGCAAAGAATACTTGACTCATGCCAAAACATCAAATTATATGATGTAATGAACAAAGGTTGCGCATTCCGCAATTTCTCAACAAAAATCACCGTTTTTTAATCTTTATTAAATCTTTTTCTAAATCATACATCATAAATCATAAATCTAATTTTCTAACAGTCTTGATCAAAATCTATGTATTAGAAAGGTTTTCTACAGTTTTGTGAATCCAACGAGATTCTGAATTTTTAAATAGGTGGCAACCTTCGTCAAAAAGTTTTCATAGTAATGACTTTTAAACCTAGTATATCGTTAGACACCTATGTATATTAAAATATTTCCTTGAACTTAGTGATTAAATTTATATTACCGTTTTGATCAGGTGGCAACCCCTTCCAAATTGAAAGTAAGTAAGCTTACTTATTCCCATCTCGTTTCAAATTAAAATAATTCATTTGACTTGTGAACTAAATTGATTTCGAATTATTAAACAGATGGCAACCCTCGTCAAAGGTATTTTCATAATAATGCTTTTTAAACCACTCTCGGTTGAACTATTGATTTAACATGTTACTTCAATTTGTTTTAACATTTTTCAACAGCAACAACTTTTTCTAAAATTTTATTTGAACCTATTAATTAACTGATTTTAACTTTCTAAGAGAGTGGCAACACTCTTCAAAAAATATCCTACTCAACTTTTTAATTAACTGAGTTAGAGTGGCAATGGGATGTATGTATAAGTGCCTCCAGCATGTGCCCGATCAAATTGATTGATGCCTATTAGTTGCTAGCGAGGCGACTTTGCTCAATGTATTTAGTCAGTAATGGAGTTACTGTATTTATAATTTATATGTACACATGTACACTTATTCCTTAGTTTATGAGATTATTGACAAAGTGCTCTACAGAGTAAAATATATGGCCTACAAATAAATCAAATATTTAAGGATTTTTAGCGGCCTTCCACACTTCAGTTGACTTATTCAAATATTAAGGTGTCATTAAAATTAAAAGGCATTCGACCAGATTTTAAAACTTTTGCAATCATGCGATTGCTTAGCTTTATGAGAAATAACTTAGGAAATTTGCAAACTCTAATTTTCCAACAAACTTAAGTAAGCAAAATTTAGTTGCACTTTTGGCTCATAACTCAATTCTACGCATCTATTCTACACCACCCAAACGAGTTGCGAATAAATTACCTGAATAGTGCAAATGTAATGCGCCATGGAAATAGCATACAAATATACTCAAGTTTGTGCGTGCGCGGATTTGTACGCATTTTAGTATACAATTTTTAATTTACAATTAATTTCTTCCGCTATCATTTTGTCTGTGTCTAAAATATTTTAGAGTGCGGTACGTGAAGTGTACCAGGAAAATGTCAGCAAGACACGAATTTTTGAAAAAAGTTTTTGGGGAATGATGCTGAAGTGGGTCAAGAAAATTAATAACTTTTTTTACAATACCTAGAATGGAAATAATTCCTCCAAATTTATCAAAATTCCAAAAGCATTACAAGAACCGAGATCTGCTCAACAGGGACCTGTTAGAATCCTTTCCATGACAGTACAGTTGCTAGTTCCACCTTGATGAGACGTAAGGTTCCTTAGTGAAACGGGGAACTGGATGCTAAGCGCAAAAATGTCAGGAAGCTTTTCAACAGGGCCATAAAGACGTATCAGTGGGATCATTATAAGGCCTGTCTCTCTGACTATATAACAAATTATTAGACGCTCGAAAAGGGATTCATGCAGGCGAAAATGTGAAACAGTAGAAACGTTGCCTGAAGCCTCCCGTCTGTATAAAATTTTATCAAAGTTGTCCTCCAACGGGATAGAGCTCCTAAGGAGGCAAGATGGCTCCATGGTGGAGTATGATCTGATTACCCCTATCTCCACGGAACACATGTTCCCTAGAGCTAGAAGCCAAGGCATATCTCGCTCCATCTTTGACAGGAACAAGGTACGGTAGGCGGTAGTGTCGTTCGAAACCTCGTCGGAAGGCTGTTCTGAAAGTTCCAAGTGATAATCCCCGATCGCAAAAATTGGGCAAATGGGCTCACTGCACTTGATCTCAGATACGTACACTGGTACACAGACGGTTCAAGGATGCAGGACAGAGCAGATGCAGATATCTTTGGACCTAGCACCAAACTTGCAATTCCCGTGGGTAAATGGACCACGGTGTTTCAGGCTGAAACAGCTGCAATTTTAAACTGCTCAAAATTAAACCTTGACTGCTTTGACACGACAATACTGTGCTGCGTACCAGGCAATTGTCAAATCGAAGGCAATGAGGTCGCCGACGAGTTGGAACGAGAAGGAGCGCTAACTATCTTATCGGGAGCTGAACCAATCTGTAGTCTCAGTTGGTCCTCTTCGGGGGCCATAATTACTGAGTGGGTACAATCGGAACGCAGTAAGTACTGGGGAGCGGTGGGAAGTCGTAGACAGACCAGGGTCTTCGGCTACCCTTTCAACATAAACGGCATTGTCTTAGTATGTAAATAGAAATGACATCAGGCTACTTTCTGGATACCTGACCGGTCACAACCAATTGCGATTCGACTTGCACCGAATAGGTGTGATCACAGAGTTGGAATGCCGGCTATTCCTCGAGGATGATGAAACGTCAGACAAAGACTGATTTATTTTAAATCTTCAATAGTCGAACCCTTCATTTACCAAGGCTATTCATTAGGGAAGCCGAAGGTATCTAGGCCACACTGGGTTAGGGACTCTCAAAAGAGGAAACACGTTATTAGAAATCAGTTCCGTACATTTTTACTCTTCGGTGTTCCTGACATATAAACAGGTTTTTTAATATTTATTTCTGTCCAAATCTAGGAGTAAAATAACTAAACACCGCACACCTTGCCATCCTAGCTGATCGCTAGTTATTGCTTTTACTTTTTGTTGCTTTTATTGCTGTCAGCTTGAGGGGAGTGCATATGAATATTTTTTCTTGTTGTTTCATTTAATCATGTTGTCACATTTGGTATGCATGCAAAGCAGCAGAAGCAATAAGCAAAAACAACAACAACTGTTATAGCAAAAGCAAAGGGCGCACGTGCTGCACTAAAAAATGCACAGCACGAAAACTGCATGTAATTCGTATGCATACCTACACAAACATACATACCTATGTAGTTACTTGCAACCACGGGAGTAATATTAAATATTGTATGAATGCATGTAAACGCAATAGCACACCCCTACTTATATTAAGTATTTGTATGTTTGCTAAAGTTACATGTGAACATACTCGCAACACAGCACATACACATACACATACATATATAGCTGCATATGCATCGACAGGAGTGCAGCATTTTGAGGGCGCACGTGCAACAACTGAATACCATTAAGTCCATTGCTGCTTGGCGCTTGCTCGTATGAATGTGGCATATTTGTAGGCGCTATATTGATGTACAAAATGTATATATGTACATATGCAGTTATGCACATGCATACTCACATACTCACATACTAACATACATACACAATCATGCATAGCCTGCACGCTTCATGCTCGAGCTCAATCAAGTTAGCGGCGCTAAAATGAAAAAAATGAAAAAAAAATTTGTTCGTATTATTGTGCTCATTGAGTGCTATTTTCGGCCACTTTTCGTTTTTTTT